CCTTTGTTGGAACAGTAATAAAAGAATACTGGCAGTTGTTTGGCAAACACTCTCACTAGAAATTTCATATAACTTCACATTCTCACTGATTTCTAAATAGATTTATGGGTAGAAGTGACATTGTTCTGCAAGGAGCAAACAACCCAGTCTTTTCAACAGTGGAAACTAATCATGTATTTAGTTCTAGTACTAGTACTAATGTACTAATACTTTAGTAAATGTATTAAAGTATTTATTTATTAAAGTAGTATAGTGGTTTACCTATATATCTCCGTTACACATTTAATTCTTCAATACATCTGAGCAGGATTCAGAGCTGGAGGCAAGAAACTATAAACTCCACATTTTGATAAGTGAGTGTGCCTGATTTAATTTTATATATATTAATGCTAGTGGTTTTAGATAAAGAGTTTTGGACAGTTGAGATTTTCATTTGAGTGTGTTTGGGGTTACAAAATTAAGATTTAATTCAGAGTTCTTATGTCAGAAATGAAATTGACTTGAAAATTCTCATTTCAGTGCATTTTTAGGTTGATGGCATTATGAAGCTACTGTTTTTTCACTTTTATTGGTCACTATGTTTGCTTCTTTTGTTTATCAAACCAGCATTTACCTGACAGTGCTGGTACATACCAGCACTTCAGAGGCTGAGGCAAGAGGATTACAAGTTCAAGATGGACCTGGCCTACTAATGAGACCCTGCCTCAAAAAACTCCTCAAGGCTGGTGGAGTGGCTCAAGTGGTGGAGAGCCTGACTAGAAAGTGTGAGGCTCTGAGTTCAAACCCCAGTGCCACCAAAAAGCCTAAAAGAAAAATGCAAAAGAAAAACCGCCTCAAATCAGTAACAAAAACAAAAGACCAGCATTTATATGTCTTCAATGTGCCTTTAAATCCTTTCCTTTTCTAGTCCCCTTTTCTTTCTTGGAAACGAACACATACAATTTATTAGATGTGCCAGGTATGAGAGGATTAGACTCACATACTGGGATTTTCATTTTCACCTTTATATTCATCATGTCTAAAGTAGGTGAGTTGTACTTTTTTTGTTCAATGGTTTGACCACCTGATATTTGATAAAATTTGGGTTTAATATTATGGTTAGAGCCACAGGAATGTTCCTTTCCTATAAGCAACTTATGAAGAGGAAGTGGTGAATGAAACTAACACTAATGTGTTATAAGGAGCAAAAATGGAGGGTATGGCTCAAGTGATCTAGCACCTGCCAGCAAGGGGGAGCCCAAGTTCAAAGCCCAGTACTGCAAAGAAATAAACATTCGTAACAGTATTGCTACAGTGCAGAAAACTTTTTTTCTCCCCTCTTCAAAGGACAATATTCTAGTTAGAATCTAGGCAGCTAGATTCAGTCTCTGATGACAGAGACGTTGATAGGAGGAGGCACTGGAAGAGGATGTCTTTGGGTAGAAAGAAGTCAGAGATTGGTGAGGAATGGAATTAGATTTCAGCCAGGAAAACTTAATGCAGGTTTGCATTCTATTCTGTATAATGACTGTTTTGTAAAAATCATGTTGTATTTCCCACAGAATAAGAGTGGTCGCTTAAATAAAACCACATGTATTCTGTGTCAGACTTTCTTGAGTACCCTCCTAATGAATACCCTCCCATTTCTTGCTTTATGTTCTCAATTGTGGCCAGTGTGATCATTTAACTTGGTATTTCTGTTCTTTACAACCCTCAGAGACATCAGTTAGTGAAGCCTTAGCACCTTTGCTCAAGAATCACATTGTTGGGCTACAGCTGCAGATCAGTGGTGTACAGCACTTGCCTTGCTGGGTTCCATCCCCAGTGCTACAAAATAACAAAACAAACAAAAAACACATTGTGCTTTTAATTCACCCTTGTGGAGAAGGGGACAGAGCTGGAACAGCTACTGCATCCATGGCATGTGGCTGGTGGAACTCAGGAAGAAAGACTTTGTAGAGAAGTTTTTTGTGTGTGAAGGACTACAGTATGGTTTGTCACAGGGAAGGTATTTCCAGATAGAATGGTACATATGAGATCTTGGAGAACAGAAATATGTGCCTACTGTGATTGTTGTAATTATTGAACCCATGAGACCTTTCTAGACTTAGAGAACATTAGCAGGGGAGGCAGCTTTGTTTGTAAGAAGAACACTGGACTGGGTGACCTGGATTTCCCTTGGCTGTCACTGATTTGCTGAGTGCCTAGTTTGGTGTTTTTTTTTTGTTTTGTTTTGTTTTGTTTTGTTTTGTTGTTTGAGACAAGATTCTCACTATGTAACCCGGGCAGGCCTTGTACTTGCCATCCTGCCTCAGCCTCCCTGCTGCTGAGATTACAGATAAGACCATGGCTGTCTAATCTTTAAATTGAGAGTGAAATAATTTACCTGAAAGTTGGGGAATTCAGTGATTCCGACTGACTTTTAAAATATGATTGCCTGGGACTTTTTACTTCCAGGACATAGCTTCTGTTACTATAATTGCCATTTATTTTGGAGTCTTGCCCAGTAACCAGGCTAAAAATAGCCTTTTGAGTTATCCCTTGCCTGGATTCTCATTTATTTCTATCAGACCTTGAATTTGTTTCTCCTCCTGCTTGTTACCTTGTTCAGAACCTCTCTCGCTGCTGCTTTTGCTAACATCCTACCCTGTTACATACACAGCATCTAGATTATTCTTCCTGATCCCTCTCTCTATAAAAATAAGCTAGCTGGTCTCCCTTGTCTCTTAAAGAAAGACAAGACTTACTGGTTTGGTGGTCAAGTGTTCTCTTCCATCTTAGGTTGCATTACTCCCTTCACATAACCTGTAGAATAGTTAAACTAAATCTGACATCCTCTTGGTGCCTTCTCTGGATCTGGTTCTGCCCTGCATGTCACATACATTCTCACAGTTTTCCCATCCCAAGTGCTTCCACCTTTATGAACTTGCTCAGGCTTGGCACTGCCAGAAGCAGCCCTACTCCTTCCTCCTTCTCCTTCCCTTCTCCCCTCTCTGTACTTAAGAGTACTAGTGGCTGTTTAGTTTTCTATACAGTTTTCTCTTAACTGAATTAAACCTGTTAGTGCTTCAAAAGTATTATATTATCTTTGCAGGATGGAACTCCAGTAAATATTTGTTGATGAATGAATTCTGACTCATCTTAGTTCAAAACCTTGTTGTCTCTGGTTTCATAGGGTTTTTAATTTTCCTGAATAACCGCTAACAAGAACGTAGAAAAGGCCTCTGCCCATGGGAATTAGTAAGTTAATACAAGAATAAGAACCATTGCCATATATGTGTTAATTATTTCCAAATTTATTGTTAAGGCAAGCAATATTTTCAGTCTTGAGTTTCGTCTTTGGCTTTTGAGTGTCATCTACTTAGGTTTTCAAGGAAATGCAGGACACCCTTCTTATCACTTGAGATGCCTCAATGGCAGATTATAGCCTGTGCCACATTTAGCATTTGGCCTGAGAAGTTTTAGAGTTAGGGTCTCCAAACTTAGGGCTTTTTTTTTTGTGTGTGTGTGGTGGTACTGGGGTTTGAATTAGGACCTCATGCTTGCTAGACAGGCACTCTATGACTTGAGCCACTCTGCCAGCCCCAAACTCAGGAATTTTTTGAAAAAATAAACCAAAATGAATGGAACAATTTTAAAATAGTTTACTTAAGAATTTTGTTATTTTGTGTACGAGAAACAGACTATCCATTTTAGAATATACCACCACTATAATTTATAGATTATAAATTGCATCTCTTGCTGGCAGTGTGGCTCAAGCAGGAGAGCACCTGCCTAGCTGATGTGAGGCCCTAAATTCAAGGCCCAGTACCACCAGAAAAGGAAAGAAAAAAAGAAATTGCATCTCATGTATTGCTCATACTTTCAGAACCACTAATAAGATGCTCAGGCATTTGATTTTTTTGTGGATTATAGATCTAGTTATGTGCTAGTGAGCCAACTCTTGGTAAATGGTTTGCATGCAGAAGATGGACAGTATCCTCTTTGAAAGAACACAGGCCAGCTTATACCATGTAAGAGTTGTAAGAGTTAATGACTTAGAGTATATTCTATCTTGTTTTGGAGGACTGAGAAAAGAAATAGGATCCAGTAAAGTCTCCCACTGTCAGTTTTTTTTTTTTTCCCTATGGTGTGTGTGAGACTGGGGTTTGAACTCAGGGCTTCACACTTGCAAAGGAGGCGCTCTACTGTTTGAGCCACACTCCAGTCCATTTTGGTCCAGTTAGTAGATAGGGACTCTTCAACTATTTGCCCATGTTGACCTAGAACCACAATGCTCCCAATCTCAGACTCCAAAATAACTGGAATTACAGGTGTGAGCCACTGGCTCCTCTCTCCATTGCTACTTTTTATCCAATGATCTCTCTCTCCTAATCTTAGAATTCTGTGTGGAGACAAGTTAAGTCTTCTGAAGCATCTACCTGAACCCCAAGGAAAGTAAATGGATCTCACCTAGGTATTTACCTCAGTTCTTTCCAGATGATGTAAGAATCATCTTATTCTAGCAATCACCTATCATCAGTCAATGTAGATATAGTGTCCTTAAAATAAAACTTGCCGTATTGTTCCCTCCCAATGCTGTTGAGTTCAAAATACAGTGATTCTTTAAAACTGTTGCAGATAAAACTATCTGCAATAACGGTTTCTACAAGAATACTTTTAAATCAATTATATGATGCTCCTGTATTCTCCCTTGCCTTTAAAATAGAAAACAGTACAGCAAGTTTATTTAAGTTACGCTCTTTGATTACACAATTAGCATTGATTTATTTTAAAAAAAAAAGGATATTTCTTCCTGTGTGCAGATAAAAAGAATGGGGCCTAGTTAGGAGCAATGAGAGGAATAAACCCTAGGGAAAGCCAAAAACCTAAGCTCTTACTACTATTCCAGCAGCATTGTAGGAAGGGCAGCATCGCCCACGGAACAGCCCTGTTTGTGCCTATGATGGTGGTGGTAGCAAGGTGAATTTAAAGAAACCTGTGTTTGATATCTCTCTTTTCTCTACCTTCCCCTCTCTCAGGAGTTAGAAGCAGCTCTTCACAGAGATGATGTGGAGTTTATCAGTGATTTGATTGCCTGTCTCCTTCAGGGCTGCTATCAACGAAGGGATATCACGTGAGTAACTTTATCTTATTAAGTATTTCTTGTGCAGGGAACCAATTAACCAGTCACAGTTGTGTTTCCTGTCTCTTATAACAAGCCAGAGTCCATCATTAGGCAGTACATAACAGTATGTACTTCTGTATACAAATGGATTCCCCAGCTCCGTGCTTCCTTATTCTGTACTGTGATTCTTGACTTTATTTTCATAAATCTGTATCACTTACTCTTTGTTACACCATCTACTATTTGAGTGTAGAATTTCTCTCTCTTGTATGTGCCTTTTTCTGATTTTGATTTGTAATATTGGTAAAATATTGCCTAACAAATTAAAATTAGATTTTACTGTATTCCTGCTGCTTGCGTGTCTTTGTTGTTCACATAACTGGCAGCAGTAGCATAATTAACTTGGAGTCTCTGGGCTCCCTTACGCCATAACTGCCAAATAAGTAGCTCTCCAGTGCCTTAAAGATGTGTAGAGACTGGGAATAGATTTCATCTATGTAGATAGTGTTGTTCTCTGTTAAAATCTTTTCCTTTGGTTTTGTTTGGTTTTGATATGGGGTCCAACTGTGTTGCCCAGGTTGGCCTAGAACTTGGGCTCAAGGAATCCTTCTGCTTCAGCCTACTGGTACAGGCATGTGCCACTATATCCTACCCCTCCACCCGGCTCATCTCTTGTTTTGATCCTGATACACATTTTCTTTGCTAGTTTTTTATACAGAACAGAGCACACTCATAAAAAGGCTAGACACAGTGGTGTCTTAGTCTCTTGACCCTCTGATGCATGTTGGGATTTGAGTTGTCAGTTTATATTTTTCATAAAGGTTAAAGGTGGTATCTCAGGCCAAGTGCTGGTAGCTCACTTCTGTAGTCTTAGCTACTTGGAGGATCACAGTTCAGAGCCAGCACAGGCAAATAGTTCATGAGTCCTTATCTCGAAAATAACCAACACAAGAAAGGGCTTGTGGACTGGCTCAAGTGGTAGAGTGCCTGCCTAGCAAGCACGAGACCCTGAGTTCAAACCTCATTACCACCCAAAAAAAAAAAAAAAGATGGTATCTCACTCAGATATTTTTGTTCTAGTGAATTCACTGTGTTAGGGCTGATGTTCATGTGCAATAAACTTTCATACAAGGCAAGAAAGAGGTCAAAGCCTGCACTCCTTATGCTAATGCTCCTATACTCCATAAACCACTCTTTCCCTTAGGATACCCAAGTTGCACTTACAAATACTAATAAAGATGAGAAGGTACATGTTAGTATATTTTCTTTGTTTCTCTATTTAGGAGAGTCTTCTTTTCTCTATTTAGGAGATTTTGTCTTTTTTTTTTTTTAATTTTTGCTGTACTGGGGTATGAACTCAGGGCTTCGTGCTTGCTAGGCAACTCTACCACTTGAGCAACACCTCCAGCTGAGATTAAAATTCAACCATATTTATTTATTATTTTTTGAGGTGGGCTGGGATTCACTTTGGGTTATATTTGGAGATGGGGTCTTACAAAGTATTTGCCCAGGCTGGCCTCAAATTGTGATCCTCCTGACCTCAGCCTTCCAAGTAGGTAGGATTACAGGTGTGAGCCAGTGGTGGTGAGATCAACAGTCTTTTTAAAGCACAGTTGTATTCATACTATATATAGATGTATAGATACTTTTTTTCTGGAGGCAGGGGGCAAAGTGCTGGGATTTGAACTCAGGATCTCCTGCTTGCTGGGCAGGTGCTCTACCATTGAGTCACTCCACCAGCCCTAGTTTCATATTTTCATATCTGGAAGTTTTTAGTACTGCAGTAATTTTTTGTATAACCATGTTTTCATATAATACAATCTGGTAGGTAGACCTTTGGCATTTTTTTTTTTTTTTGATCGAACTGGCATTTGAACTCAGGGCACGCTACTGCTTGAGCCACACTGCCAGTCCATTTTGCTGTGGTTATTAGACATTGGACATTGGGTCTTGTAAACTGTTTGCCCAGGCTGGCCTCTAACTCTGATCCTCCTAATTGCAGATTCCCAAGAAGCTAGGATTACAAGTGTGAGCCACCTCATCTGGCTTATGTCTTGTTCTTAACTGTGTTAAATATGTTATAATGGGTATTTTGTATGAAATTGATCAGGTGTGCAATCTTTTATCTCCTTAGTATAAGTTTTTAGAAATGCAATCATTCATTTAAAGCAAACACCCAAGCTAAGCACCAGCGGCTCAGGCCTGAAATCCTTAGCTACTTGGGAGGCTGAGATTGGGAGGATCCTGGTTCAAGACCAGTCCTGGGAAATAGTTCGCAAGATCCCATCTCCAAAATAACCAGAACAAAGTGGACTAGAGGTGTGGCTCAAGCAGTAGAGTGCCTGTTTTGTAAGTATGAAGCCCTGATTTCAAGCCCTAATCCCACAAAAAAACAAAAACAAACAAACAAACAAAAACCCAACAAATAATTAAGATTTTGTAAACAAATCATCAGGCCGATATCACAGAGGTGATTCTGTTTTATCACTACATTAGAGTGTCTGTCTACATATGCTCATTAGTTCTGAACATGGCTCTCTATATGCCTGTCAGTGATGACTGGCAGGACACTTTCCTGACTGGCACAGAGCTAACAGTTAGTTCTCTGTGGGGGCCAGTGGCTGGAGGTCCACTGATAGCTACAATGTATACAGTTACTGAGATGTGTACTTAGAAGTATGTTAACAGAATATATATCCTGGTGTGAGAAAGTGATTTGTGGGCTGAGCTTCACATCCTAGTCCTTCCTCTTTGTCCTTCTGTTTAAAATTGGTGTCAACTGGTCCTGTTTGCTCTTTTTTCCAGATAACATAAGGAACCCATTTTATTTTATGAGGAAATCTGGATAAAACTGACATGTTTACAATATTGAGAATATTTATTCATACTTTAATTTCACTAGTAAAAAGTTACAGCCTTTTTACACTTGCTGTTCACCAAAAGGAAATACAGATTTATTAATTTAGGTTAGACAGTGCCGTGTCTATTTAATTTTTGTTGCCATCAGGAGTGCAGTCAATCTGGACGTGGTAGTACACTGCTTTAATCACAACCCATGGAAGGCTGAGGCAGGAGGATTGTGAGTTTAGGCCAGCCTGTGCTACATAGTGAGACCCACTTTGTGTTTTAAAGAAAAACAAAACAAAAAACCAGATCCACATTAAAAGTTTTGTTTGTGGCTCGGTGTCCTTGGCTCACACCTATAGTCCTAGCTACTCAGGAGGCAGAGATCAGGAGGATCGCAGTTGGCATCCAGCCTGAGCAAATAGTTCTAGACACCCTATCTTGAAAAAACCTATCACAAAAAAGTGCTGGTGGAGTGGCTCAAGGTGAAGGCCCTGAGTTCAACCCCCAGTACCACAGAAAAGGGGGCGAGGCGCTGCTGGAGTGGCACAAGGTGTAAGCCCTGAGTTCAAACTCCAGCTACCCATCCCCTCCCAAGTTTTGTTTGGTTTTTGATGGCATAGAGTTTGAACTCAAGGCCTTATCATTTTTCAGCTAATTTTTCATTTAAGCCATGCCCCCAGCCTACAATGCCTTTTGTCTTTGCCATAAAAGAATTCTTGAAATATGTACTATTTCCTTGAATTTGAATTTTCTTATATTTGCAACTTGCTTTTTTAAAGTTGATATATAGTTTCTTCTTTCTCTCACTGGGATTTGAACTTGTTACACAGGCACTGTACCACTTGAATCCCATCCCCCATCTGTCTCCCCACCACCACCACCAAAAAAACAGTTGATTCTCTTGATTTTTCTAGGACTATCCTTTCTCTTTGCTTTTCATTGTTTATATTTGTCTATTTCATGTTGTGTGACTGTTACATATATGTAACAAATTCCTTAAAACTTAGCAACCAAAACCGAAATTTTTTTACCTCACTTTCCCTGGGTCAGTGGCTGCGCTCAGGCTAAGACTGTGATCAAGGTACCAGCCATGACAATAATAATCTGTGTCTTGATGTATAATATACCTATAGAAAAGTGCATATTCTTAAGCATAAAGCACAGTGAATTTTTACAAACTGAATTCACCGGCACAATGGAACCTCCTGGGCTGTTCTCTAAAAGGTTTTCAGGGACTCTCATTTAATCTTTGTAACAATCCCAGAAGATAGATTCCTCTCTCATCCACTTGTCAGGGATGAGAAATTTGAAAGCACAGAGTGGTTAAGTAAATCTTCCAAGGATAAACAGCTAATAATTTACATAGGGCCAATTTGGCCCCTAGACTGCCAGCTCTTAATCACAGCCCCTCATGCTATAGAAGAGAAATATTAAGCAAAAAGTTTTACCTTGAAAAGAAGGGTTTTTCAGCTCTCTTGTGATGTGTTGTTCTTCAGAACTCTAATGAAAAAGCTTATGAGCAGAATAATGTTCTAATGGAGCAGCTCAAGTAGTAGGGCATCTGCCTAGCAAGCACAAGGTCCCAAGTTCAACCCCCAGTGCTAGAATGAAAAAGTAAGTGAATGAATAAATAAATAAAATAAGAATGCTTTGCAAACCACAGAGTAAAATTAGGATTACATCAGAACCTGGTTTTATGGAAAACTAGTAAAGAATCAAATTTTTGTTATAGTAATGTGTTTCTTAATTCATTAAATTACATATTCGAGTGATTATTAATCCAGAAATTAACAGTTCTGATTTGTCGGTATCACTATCTTCAAATATTGATGGGTAGAAGTTCTGTTTTGATGTGCCTGTAGTATCTACTGGTGAAAAATACACAGATACTGCTAAAATTACTGAGGCTTATTGCCCATATTTGTAATTGAAAGAAGTATAAAATTTGCACAGTTCTTTAAAAAGCCAACTTCATAGACTGCCTGAATTGTATTTGGGACTTCGGCTTTAAAAGGTTTTCACCTGTAAAATTTAACTGCACTTTATAATTAGCATCATAATCATGCAAGGAGCTTTAGTTGATCATCTTGTAGGATTTACTAGTCTAATTTCAGTAGTGTGGTTCAAATCCAGGACCTCACATCTAGGGAGTGCTCTACCAG